AAAAAAGATATTGCAAACAAAAGAAGCATGTCCAAAGAGACCTGTTTACGGAACCCTTATTGAAAACAATTCAGCTTTATCGGTACGAGTTTAGTTAGAACGCGTTTCATATTCAAAATATTTACCAAAATCATTCGAGAGTTGTCGTGTTCTCTTGCCATCTCATTAACGATTTTCAACCACCATATTCATATTTTAATATTTTCATTACTTGAAGAGATCGATTGTAGTCCAGAGCGATGCATGTCTTCAACGATCCCTCGACCGTCTTTGAAGGCTTTGTACTACTCGTAGGCTAGTGTTTTAATATATAATGTTTAAACTGTATCAGCCTAAGCTTTCTCTAACATTCACATTCCAATATAAAGCAGAAGAGGGGACGCGTCTCACGCCCTTTGTCCCATCATATGGTATTATTTTGTTCAACATTAATCATATATAATTGCAAAATCGACGGCTAAAATCTAGACAGTAGTACACCTAAGGAAACACAAATTTTATCGTTGCAGTTCAAATACTGATACAATAAATTATGGTACAACTTTTTCCTGTTCAGTCACAACTATCAGTATAACCCCGATACATATGAAAACAAAAATTACTGTACCCTGCTGTGTGATACTATTTTGTATTTTTCAAGTAAAAAAATATTGAACACATGTTTATTTGAAATATAATTTTTGCATATGTTTATGAATTGTTTTGACTTTTAACATAAAACTTTAAAAAGTAGCCGATGTCCATCTCCAGGCTCCAAGCTACCTCGTCATTATAAGTATAATTTCACATACATATGTGTTTTTAGCATTAAACTATAGTATATATCCAATATTATATGTACGTTTAGTTAATTATGCTAAGATATTACATATTGAACAATATACATACATATACGATATAAAACCAATTATTAGTTACATAAGATATAGGGGTACTGACCCAATTTTATCTATTTTTGTAATAACTACATTTTAAGTATTAACAGAATGAAATGTTTCATTAAGATACTTCACATACCATCACCAATATATAAGGAGTGAATTCAACCGGAAGCTCAAAATATTACTATTAGGTATATGGGAGCTAAGGAAAGTACTGACTCGATTCAACCCATTGTTGACGTACAGACTTACAAGGAAGGATTCCTCACCGAATTTCAATTATATATCTTACACATTCACCGATAATTCGGGAAAATGTCAGCCATAAGCACTTGGGCCTACGTCTTCGATATCTCGGCCTTGAATAGTTATGGTCCGATTTTGACATTTTTCTACCGGGAGTTGAAGAAAGAGATAGAATTAAATGTTGAAATATGAGGACAATTTTACCTAGCGAATTTGGTTAAAATTGGTCGAGAAGGAGCGAAAATGTGTGACTTTAGTTAAGAGTAGCAGGTGCTACGCTCATTGTCATAAAACCGGTCTACCACCAATTTTTTTGAAGTTTAAAATTTCGTCCTGATTCATATCTAACATGATTAAGTTTAGGCAATATAAACAACCGTTAGATGAAAAATACGTCACAGTGTTTATACAATTTAGAATTCAATAAAGGAAAAAAAATGGAAGAAATAAAGTAGCGAATAAATAAATTTTGCTAAATTGCCTTATACAATTAAGCCAAGTTTCTTGTAAAATGAGCGAGATAAACATTGGGTTATGAGTATATATCTAAGTGATTAAGATAACGATACGTGCTGAAATCCGGGTGACCTGTCCGTCCGTTGCTCAAGCTGCCAAAATTACGAGTTCGTAGATCCCGTGTAATTAAACCATTACCACGCCCACAAAACGTCTGTAATGAACTGTAATTTTACATAGAGGTTCGCAGTAATAAGGAGCATCTATGGGGCAAAAATTTTGAATAAGTGGTAGTGGCCCCGAATCTGAATATGTTTAATGTACATATCCTTCAAACCGTTCAAGAATAAATAATCGAAATAAATTCTATAACAATCCCTACCAGCGGCGCGAAAATTATTGAAATCGCATTATAACCCCGCTCACTCCCCATACAACTGTACAGTTAAAAACTACTAAAAGTGCGCTAAATCGGGATGGCATTTGACAGCTTTATAAGAGCCAGGGTCAAAATTGAAAAATAGGAGTGGCTACGCCCTCTTTCAGGTGAAATCAAATATCTCGGGATCTGCTCGGTTGATTTTAAATTTTCCCTTTCCAAAATAAAAATAGAGAAGCAAATAATATAAAGAGATAAAATTTTGYACCAATAGTGCTTATGAAGTATGCCACCTTACGACAAGGTGGCAATGCGTGAGATTTATGTATAATTAAGATTCAGAGAAAATTATTTTCTGTAATATAACGACTGTGTGCCCAAAATGGATTGTATCGATTTAGTAGTTCCCTTAGCTTCCATTTAGCTGATATTAAGAATTTTAGTTTCTTTGTTTTACTAATATTATGGTGCGCTACTGTATTCCCATTTCAATAGAGTAACATCCCTGTATCTACCGTCCATTTCTTTGAACGTCAATTCCATTTCTGCTTCTGTGTGACGTTTTCATTTTATGTTTTTGTAATGATTCTTTGCGCTTGTTTTTTGTGTTGATTGGTACGAATTCGGCGATAATATTGTAAATATTCTTTTCAACAAAAAATTACATATATTTGGAAGAACAAGGCAAGTGTTATTGTTTAAAATAAATAAATAACTAAAATAAACTTACATCAAGTTATTTATAAACAGTAGAGTTCGTTTATAAATTCATGCGCCGGTATTCAATTTATTAAAGTTAGAGGCACGGTATATGTATGAGAGCGCACTGTACAGTACTGTTTGCATAGGTATTTAGATGTGTATAAGAGACATATGTATGAGAGCGCACTGTACAGTACTGTTTGCATAGGTATTTCTCTTAATCTCACCACCATCATTTTTGTTGCGTACAAGCTTGCCAAAAGTTATAGATTTAAATCGAAACTACTACATTCATCCCCCTCAGCGTACTGAAATAGATTGAATTAGTTTTTTAGTGTTCTAAAAATTAGTTTAAATTTTTTTTTATTTATAAATGTTTTTAATATTCAATTTTTCTAAAAGCGCCAAATTTCTAATTTGAAAAAAAAAAATCCGGAATTAGTTATCTATGAAATAATTTGTAAAAGTTGCAAATGCGTTTATTTCCTGCCCAATATTATTGGACTCTATTAACAATTACGGAATTACAAAATTAACCTGAGTCTATTTATCGATCTTTATTAATATTTAATTGAATTTGTTTGCTAATTTTTCCAATTTCGACCTTACTTATATTGCTAAATTGCTTTTTACTCTATAACAAATTTGTTATGAAGTTCATAAAAAGAGCCTTCAAGGATGTAAATTAACAGCGAACTAAATCATACAAAATATAAAGATGGCAACCATATTTCAGCTACCTTTGGTACCTTTACTACACTTTTGCACAACTTATCACTTATATTTGGAGTCAGTTTTTTTCAGTCACATCTTGAGCTGCGAAGTGGTGAAAAGGATTTTAAATTTTTTTTATTTATAAAAAACAACAAAGAGAACTGCGAAATAGGATTTTTGTGGAATACAATTAATTTTTTTGGTTAGCATARTATTTTAGTACTTTGGTGGTAACTCAGGTAATACTGAACGAATATAAACATAAATAAATCTTATACATACATGCAAATATTTACAAGTTTGAGATGYGGAAATGTGATAAAGCAGACAAAACAAAAACATCGTTGATAGGTGAATGCTCACATCCACAGGCATACATACAAATGTTGAAATATTGTTAAATTATGAAAATATGTCAAAAAATTTTAGTATTTTTTTTTAAGAAATATTGCTAATAAAGATGTAAAAGAGTATTTCCCTGAATTAGTTTATATAGAAAAACAATATCCAAACCAAATCAGGAAATTACTTTATATACATACATATGTATATTTTCTTAAATATGTACTTATGTACATAAATTTGGATGTGGATATACATATCGTATATGGATCTGATCTCAATTAATTTTTTTTCGCGCCAGGGTTTGGTTTGTAAAATTGCTGGTCGGTCATACACAGGGATGTTCATAGATTTTTTCCTGTAAACTATCTTCTGAATTGGCGGTCTTCGGCCCGATTATGAAAAATAATTTTTTCGCTACCTTCTTCGTTATGGACCCAACATTTACCAATCTATGTTTTTAAATTTAATTGTAACTATAAAGTTTTTTGTTTTGTAGAGGGTTATTTTTATGTATATAGCAATGAAAGCAATTTATTCAAAATGTTGACATGAGAATGGAGTCGATTTCATTAATTATATCATGCGTAAATCATACATTTTTCTAATATGCTGTCCAATTTCGATTTGAACTCGCTATTTAAGGAAGGTCAGCGTATGCTACAATGCGTGAAAGACAGTACTCTCAAAAATGCATATGGATTAGTACATATGTAGTATGCATGCGGCATATGTATATGTATGTGATAGACAAACATTCATGAATAAAAAATGAAAAAACGTTAACAAAWGTTCGGTCTAAAATATTATTCACAGATAAAGCAATTTTTATACAAGARCTTMATTTGGATCGTTCAGTTTGTATGGCTGCTATATGCTATACCTATTCCATCTAAACAATTTCTTTAGAGATTATAGCGATACTTTAGTTAATAGTCTATGCCGAATTTCGGGAATATATMTTGTAAGATAACAGATTTAYCACACAASAACTTGATTTTAATTGTTAAATTTTCCGACAAAAAAATGGTGCCTGCCTTACAACAGTAGCTGCCACAGCTGCAAGCAAGAAAGGGATACGGGAACGGTTTTCCACCTCTTGTGCGAATGTTCAGCTTTATCACAAATCCGACAAAAAATATTTCAGCACTAAACCTTGAATGGTTGTATACAAAAAGCGTAAAGAACATAAGTAGTTTTATTAAGGTCACCCAGTGGTTCGAGCGCTACAATAAAATCGAATAGCAAGGCTATTAGGTCCTACGACAGTGTGCGGTGGCGACATTCCTATCTATCATTCACATGTAACAAACATGTAAATTATTACATGATTTTCGACGTTTCCTTCTGGATGTTACAAGCTTCGTGTTCAGGGTTCAGGGTATAAAAATAAAAAGTCAACAATGTACACTGGTTGTAGCAGATGAGCACCCTCCTATTATACACTGTTTCTGCAGGGCTCATCTACAGATTACAATAGCTTTGTCCACCTAAAGGTTATTTCATAACCTCAAAATAATAGAGACGGATATGGAGTTATGTATAAGCATATAAATGATCAGGATGATGAGACGTGTTGAATTCCGAGTGACCATCTGTTCGCCGTCTGTGCAAGTGATAACTTGASTAAAAATTWAAATATCTTGATGAAACTTGGTACAARTACTTCTTGGCAAAAAAGTGAGGACGAGTTTTTAGATAAAATATATCGGTACCTGTTCAACCGATTTCAATTACATTCGACAACATTCCTTTGATACTCCTATATTACAGTGTGATTATGAGCGAAATCGCTCTACAACCACGCCTATATGCCTCCGAGATTTAAAATTGTGTTATATGGTAAACACAATTCTAAATCTCATATAAGTCTTTCACTYTCTTGCATACAAATCAAGAAGTAATTAATTTAATGAGATAAAACTTTACACAAAAGTCCTTTTGAAGTATGTGACTAACAATTTTCCAAATCGAACCAAAGCTCTGTAAGACCTTAGGTGCCGAAGATATGGACTCCAGTGCTTATAGTCGACTATTTACCGAAAATATCTGTCGATGTCTGAAATAGATAATTGAAATTTGGAAAGAATCCTTTTCAGATAGTACATAGTAGGTCTGTGTGTTACAAATTGGTTTTATCGCCGAGTTGTTAATCCTTGGGCAGATAAAAGATATATTTAGATTAGCGCAACACAGTGCTCTCTTCTAAACCAGTAGTGTGCCAAATTGATTTTAAAGTATAGACTCGAATTGTACCAGAATATTTGTGCAAATTCACCGTGAGAGTTCTCATATTATAACGATTTTSATTTTCAAACAATGCATGCGATGCGGCGATGTCACGTTTGGAAACTTGGTAAAGCGGTACCAGAAAAATAAAGAGCTGCTTGGAGGAAGGTGAAGCGTCAAAACCGTCGATAAGACGGGATATCCACCCCGACTCGAAAGCCCATTTATAAAAAAGTGCAACTGGASTTGAAAAAGGCATTTATTTCATGAATTCCCTAGAGTTGTTGCGTGGCGTTTATTTTGAATTCGAATTATGGTTACATGCGATGGCTTTCGGCCGGATGTTATTGTACGTTATTAATATAACATTCACTATAGTCCGATAATAACGGTTTCAATTTAAATATTATGCATGAAAAGCCCATAAATTGACGAGTAAATGAAAATAGCGGATTTAAACTGATATCTTCTGAAAACAACCATCAAGCTTAAAAAATGTTATTATGAAAAAATTTGGTTTTTATCAAAACGAGCGTGCCSGCTAAACTTTTGCCATCTTTTTATTATTATTGTTATAATATATAATATTTTCGCATTCTTATATTTCMGTGTGGTTTACCGCATTTATTTACTATACGTATATTGCTTAATGCATAATTGCATATGTGGATATATAGAAGATATTAGTTCTTCACTTTATCAGGTGCATATCGATTTTATTCGAATTGGGTCATGTAATTTGCCAATAATTGCTTGCAATAGAAGGTGAGATCGGAAGTTARCTGCTCGTCTCACTCATTTCATGTTACGGTAAATCCAAAATAGCATTGATAACTGAATAATTAAATACCGCCTGTTCGAAAGAAAATAAAACTAGAACACTTCAGTAGGAATAGAAAAATGTGGCAGCTGTCGATTCTCAAGTAAAAGGTTTACTGACTTGGAATTCTCACTCTTCGACTGGTAATAGAGAAAGACGCGCAAATGGAATCACCACTTATATGTACATATACATACACATGTATGTATATATATATAATATATAATTACACAAAAAAAGGTATTTATTTAATACCCTGCACTCAAGTAAATAAGTGTATAAACAAGAGTAAGACAAAATTTTAATTTCATAAATTTACGCACTTCGGGTGTATAGGTTATGCACAACTCAGTTCGTCACGCTGATCATTATAAAATATTATATGTGGGTATGGGACCGTTCGGTAGAAATTTTACTTTGAAAGTAATACTAGAAATATGGATTTAGAAGGGAATTTACTAATCAAACTTTGGGGTGTCTGCATTTACCACAAATATAGTACCATGCTGAATACGTATCAGCCTCATACTGTATACTACTGTGATCAAATTGAAATTTAGAAATTGAATTTTGTCCATTTCATCTCCTTCAAAGTAATCCCCTCCCGCAGTAATACACTTATGCCAACGAATTTTCCAGTCATCATAGTACCTCCGTCGTGATAGCCATCAAAGCCTTCTTATTTTCAGCTTTTATATCCTCAATGGAGTCAAAACGGTGTCCTCGGAGTGGTAATGTGAATTTGCTGAATAGCAAGAAGTTACACGAACTTAAACCAGGCGAATGTGGTGTTTGCGGCACGATATTAATTGAAAATGCGGCGAAATGATCACGAATAACCTATGCAGTCAATAAATTCAGACATAGTGAAAATCGAAAAATTCACTTCTAAAGTCTTACAAAATGACGCATATCACAAATATTAATCAATATTTTGACGTGAAATTTAGCATAGATGTCACTAACAGTACTACCAACTTACAGAAAAAAATAAATATTCATCTTTCAATTTGATCACAGTAGTAAATCTTTGTTATGAATGCTCAGGTCATTGATGTAAACTGAGCGTGGCTTTAAAGGTGTTAAATCGCACGACCTTGGAGACAACGTCACTGATCCTTCTTCCTTCTTTTCTTCAATGGATTTAGAATATATATACATATATATTCATTTTTTTTTTAATTAACGGACTTTTGAATTAACGGACAATCTGATATATATACATACATACATAACTTTTAATTTACCATAGACTGATTATTTTACAAATCTGAAGCACCGTTAAAGTTCGTCATGGATAAAAATGAAGACCTTCTGACACTTTCGCTCTTTCATTGGGGCTGTGGGGTGCGTTCGTGCAGCGCCAGCGGCTGAAGTTTACGGTGGAATGGTGTCGTAGGGTTCAGGGTTGGTAATGTCCATTGTTGCCACGGCTTATACTTGCGTACTTGCATGGCAGTATTGATTTATTTTTCGATTTGGTTCATTGTGTTTCCACTGTATTGACCACAACCGCATTTGGTCACCACATAAACTGTTTTTAGTCGTCTATACAAATATTATATATATGTATACATATGTAAGTCGCATATGTCAAAGAGTATAGGAACATACCAGCTTGCAGGTGACGGATAAGCACATTTGTCTCGTTAAAAGTGCAATTTACAGGCGGCAGTGTACTACCGCTCGCACATACTCAATCGTCAAACAATTGGATGTTCGATTAACGAGGCAGATATAAATAAAACTCGTGCGGAAACAGTCGTTCGCGCCAAATATAACGGAATATTTCGGTAGCAAATATACCAATTTAACTGTCGCTTACGTACACATACATATCTAAAAGTAGTTAATATTTGTAAATACTTTTAAATATTATAACTCTTTCATTAATTCGTATTTTAAAAAAGTTATTTTTTTATTTTTTTAGATATCGAAAGTCTGGAGCAAGAAAATAAAGAAAAATGGCTTCTGGCGGCTTAACTTGTGTGAAGTTTATTACATTTTTCTGTAATTTACTTTTCGCTGTGAGTATCTCATCCGTTTAGTTTCTCATTTCACCGTTGTTATTAATTATTTATTTACTAATTTTTTATTCTTTTTCGATATTCAGCTAACTGGACTGCTCATCCTAATTGTAGGTGCTATGGTGCAGTTGAACTATGCGCATTATTCAAATTTCGTTAGCGACCACATATGGACTGTGCCCATTATTTTGATTATAGTCGGCGCAACCATAGCATTCATCTGTTTCCTCGGCTGTTGTGGCGCCTTGAAWGAGAATAGTTGCATGATACTGTCATTCGCTCTTTTAGCGGTTATTATATTCTTGTTCGAAATCGGTTTAGGGATAGCTGGTTATGTTAAACATGCATCTCTGAGTGATATAATGGAGGAACAGTTCAATTCCACAATGAAAGAATACAACGAACGCAAAGAAAATCGTGATGCTTGGTCGCTTTTGCAAAGTGAGGTATGTATTCTAAGAGTAATTTTTATTCATAGTTCAATAGAAATATAGTTATAAATTGCGGTTTTAGATTCTACAAATATAGTTTAAACACTCGTTTTCGCTGTGCCCCCATTTATGTACAGATCCCTCATTCGAAAAAAAAAAATAACAAATTGAAAATTTTTTTATATCTTAATAAAATTATATTTAACGCATGTGTTTCGAATAATATATATTATAATATATCTTAAAAAATTCACTGAACGTAGAATATTAGATATACCACAGTTTAATGTCGAAACTGTGGAATAAAATGTTAATTTCATTAAGTGAAATATAGAAACAGTCTGGTGTTTGCAAACAATCACTGCGGCGAATTATTGGGTAAAAATATTTTCGAGTGGGACGGTTCACAATATAAATTTTTATATTACATAATACACAATATGTTTTGGAAGCGCCTACAGAATCTCAATTTACTTTTACTATTATGGCAGATTTAAAATAAACCCGACTATTAATTGATTTTTGTTATTGAAAATTACTTTGTTTTTTTCGTCAGATGGATTGCTGTGGAACCTTTGGGCCTAAGGATTGGGAACCGATATTTCACAACAGCTCTCTGCCACCGGCATGCTGCACGGTCATCAATTTGAATGAAGCTCAAGACTGTACGGCTGTTCACGCCCATTCGGAAGGCTGTCTAAATAAGCTGCTCTCTCTGCTCGACTCCAAAACATTAACTTTAGCGGGCGTGGTACTCGGCGTAGCTGGTATACAGGTATGTAATAGCAAACTATCTTAAAACATATATCAAAAACTTTTTTTATATTTCCAGCTATTGACCATACTTTTCGCCTTCTGTCTGTTTCGTTCGTTCAGACGCAGTTACTAGACGGTTTAAAAAACAACATGTAGTCACGCTCAAGATACACATATTACGAGTTAATAGTTGAAAGCTTTTTAAATTCATACAACCAATACTCATCCTGATATGTGTTATAAGAATTTATTTCTCTTGAATATCAACAGTTTTTAAAGCGGACAAAGTAAAAACTAGAAAAGTGCTTATAAAGAAGTAAAATTACTTATGTGGACTACATATAACTGAGCACACAAATCACATTTTCAATTGTTACTTACATACTTATACAATATATACAAATGTAAGTATATGAGAGCAGCATTATTATGCAGACTTCAGGCTCCCCATATCACTTATTCATATCAGTGTTTTAAGTTAATGAACAACGTCGTGAAGTTTATGCTCAACATTTTTGAATGATCAAGAGCGAATATGAACAATATAATATGAATTTACACCTTTAAGCACATTTTGTATACCTAATATATATGATATCTAAATATATGTATGTACTGGCAATCATTTTTTGACGAAAGTCATTTAGTAGTTTAGCACCAAAAAAGACATTAGCAACAATACGGTACGCATTTCACTTAAATTTTCGTATTTATGTATTTTCATCTGTATATGTATAAGATTTCATAATATCTGTACTCTTAGATTTCTTTATATAAATCTTGAGAGGCTTTTACTACTACATTACTTGCCTAGCCCATTTCGGCGACATATAGCATTTAAAGAAAATGCCAAACTCAATTAATTGTTTAAACTGGAAAAATTTATACAAAATTTTATAAAAGTTTTATATTAAAAAGAAGCATAAGATGAATTAATACGAAAATATCGAAACCGAAATTGACGTAAACTAATAACAACCATTAGCAATATTATGGTAGTGGTATTTTTACATAAACCAATTTGTTTATCTTCTTTTGTGAWAGATTTGCTTAATTTAAAACTTAATGCGATTTTGTTTGTTATATCAATTTGAAAAATAACAAGTTTTTAATGAATTTTTCTTTAATAAGTAAATATGAAACCAAGTTTTTGAAAACTGAAATATTCAAATAAAGAAGTTAATAAAGACTTTTTACAGCTACCTTTTACACTTGGTTATCAAAGATCCAAATATTATATATATTTATTAGAAATACAGTTTTTCTATATATGTACATACATGATTTATGAAGTTTCCAAAATTCATAAATTTTTTTTAGAAAATAAATTAGTATAACCTAATCCAAATTGTGTAAACATATATTTCGGTAGATGTATATTATACAAACCCTTATTTGTAACATAAATTGCTGAAATAGTTACTTAGTAGTCCAATCGCTTCACAATTTATTATTACATATACTAGTAGGTTACATAGATTTGTATTATTGAACAGTAGTTTTGTGTATTTTATTGGCTTTATAATTATGTATGGATGTATTTGTTAAATAATTGTATTTGTTTGAAATTGTGTTAACTGTGTATAATAGATCAGCACTGAATAAAAATAAAGTACTCATACCAACTTTTAATACAGCGTATCTAAARAAATTTTATTTCCTTTAATTCGAGTAAAAAAAAAATTGTAAATTACGCCTTGATAAAGATTGTCCGAAATTGTCTTGTCTGACATATCAAACAACTGGTGTACACAACTTCGTTTTTTTTTTTTTAATATTTGAGAGATTCTGGCTGTTGTTTGCCATCATCTATGTGTTCCGTGAATAATATTAAAAAAAAACTGTTATCTGAGCATAAAAACTGTTGAAACACTATCCGACAAAGTTGGATTAATAAACGTAGTCATTGTGTCGTTCATCCACAAACATATTAACTGTATTTTGACTTATTCATTAAAGTTAACAAAAATGGTTTAAAAACTCTTAATAATAAAATTTGAATCTTCATTAAATACCTTCACTCAATTTAGTTGTTTTGTGGAACTTAAATTCCTCCGTTCACATATATTTGTGATATMATTTCAATCTGGCCGTTCTAGTCATTCCAATAACAAAACGTCAAAACCTACCCAATGCAGTCAACTGTCAAAGTTCGGTAGGTGCGCGGTTCTCACATTTCCAGTGACAGAAGARTTGGGGATCTCTTTATCTCTGTCCCCAACTCTCCTCCAATATATAATAATATGCAATCGTAATAAATGTTGAGCGTTTTAATTTAAATGCCCAAAAATTCTTATTTTGTTTGATCTGGCCWTAATGGAAAATGTTATAAAAAGCGCTTATTTTGAKGCGCTCTCACACTGGAAAAATGTGGGCATCCCATTATTCGTACCCAACTTATTATAGTGTGAGAGCGCTTCAAAATAAGCGTTTTTATAACATTTTCCATTATGGCCAGATTGAACACAAAAAGGATTTTTGGGCATTTTGAATTAAAACACCCAACATTTATTCTTCTCCTTCTTAATTGGCGTAGACACCGCTTACACGATTATAGCCGAGTTAACAACGGCGCGTTTCTCTTTTCGATACGTGGCGGCAATTGGATATTCCAAGCGTAGGCAGGTCCTTTTCCACCTGGTCTTCCTCTTCGGACAACATGACCTATCCAGTGTAGCCGSTGCCTTTTAATTCGCTGAACTATGTCAATGTCGTCGCAAATTTCATACAGCTCATCGTTCCACCGAATGCGATATTCGCYATGGCCAACGCGCAAAGAACCATACATCTTACGCCGAACTTTTTCTCTCGAAAACTCGCAACGTCGACTCATCAGTTGTTGACATCGTCCAAGCCTCTGCACCATATATCAGGACGGGAATTATGAGTGATTTATAGAGTTTGGTTTTTGTTTGTCCAGTCTGAGGCCGGTGATATCAATATTATTGGCATACGCCAACAGCTGTACACTCTTATAGAAGATTGTACCTTCTCTATTTAGTTCTGCAGCTCGAACTATTTTCTCCAGAAGCAGGTTGAAGAAGTCGCACGATAGGGAGTCGCCTTGTYTGAAATATCGTTTGGTATCGAACGGCTCGGAGAGGTCCTTCCCGATTCTAACGGAGCTTTTGGTGTTGCTCAACGTCAGTTTACACAGCCGTATTAGTTTTGCGTTGATACCAAAAGCAGTTTCTTTTCGTGCTGTCAAAGGCAGCTTTGAAATTGACGAAGAAGTGGTAAGTGTCGATTCTCTTTTCACGAGTCTTTACCAAGATTTGGCGCATGGTGAATATCTGGTCGGTTGTTGATTTTCCAGATTTGAAGCCACACTGATAAGGTCCAATCGGTTTGTTGACGGTGGGCTTTAATCTTTCACACAATACGCTCGATAAAACCTTATATGCAATGTTGAAGAGGCTTATCCCGCGGTAGTTGGCGCAGATTAGACCCCACAATCTTTGTGTGGATTTGTATTATATCCTTTTTTGTGAATTTGTATTATATGGCAAAACTACTTAGATCCTTTTTTATGATTTTATGGTATATTAACACAACTGACTTTCGATCTTTCAATACTTAATAACGTGAATTAAGCCTGTTAGTTCTCAATTAATAARTGTTTTTAACATTTTTCCATTGACAATAATACATTTAAATTTCATAAATTTATTTAATTTTCATTGTTTTACATTTCTTGTAASTGGTATTGAACAATGCAACAAATCCCTCCGTTTACATWTKTTTTTTGGTAARATTTCAATCTGGCCATCGCTCGTTTCCAATTGCTAAATGTYAAAACCTCCTGAACTCRATTCAACTATCAAAGTTCAGGAGGTTTTGRCGTTTAGCAATTGCTCTCTCCCTTCCARTGAGAGAGGAGTTGGACATGTCTTTATCTCTGAAGTTGGGAATCCCGTTATCCCCGCCCAAAATATTAGCAGAATAGAGCACAAGTTGAGAGCGTAAGAAGCAGAGGGAGATGCTAGCTTCTGTTAGTGAAAATAGCTCCAGATATTTGACGTATTTGCTTTAATTTTGTTTATTTTTTAAATTTTGAATTAAGAAAATGAAAATTCGATTCATTAATTTTTAAGTGTTGTCATTAAAAACATTATCATACTATCTTGAGAAATCTACTATTTTCGATAAATGCATTTYCTTGAAACATAAGATTTCATATTTAAAAATTATAATATATTACATCACTTATTATGAGAGTAATAGCCCTGACAGACGACAGCGCYAATGCATATTAGCGGGCTYAATTTAMATTTATTTGCGCATTTCACCCATGTTAATGCAAGTTTGCAATGCCCAAGAATTTCGWGCATTTAGCTGAATTTACCAAATTTGAGAATTTTSACAGATGTCGCTTGAAGTCTGCCGCCTCCTTTGCGTTTACAGCATCAGAGGTTAGCAGTTTTTATATTGCTAATTAAATTATGTGCAAGTATATTAACATAAACAAATTTTAATGTTTTTAGATTTCAGAAAGTAAACAACGCACAATTTGCTATCCATTTTTCCAATATTCTTAACTTTTTCTACATTACAATCAATTATTGCTTTTAATTTCACTCTATTATCTTTTGACGTAGTTAATAATAATAGAATTTTTCTTTTAATTTATATTGATTTTCCAAATACCCCAAAAGTTCTATTAATAATTTGTCTTATTCATTTTTTTTTTTTTTGTAATAAATAAACAAATTTCACCATCAGCTGTCTAAATGCACAAGTCTGCCGTCTTTCACCATAAAATTTCAATGCGTATTTGCGTTGCTTAAGGCGCATTAATTTTGCTCGTCTGTCAGAGCTAAATCAGGTAGTCTGTTATTACACACGGCAACTTTTGTTGCTAATTCTCGGGCGATTCTCTTTTGCTGTCGCCCATTACATTCACACGAGCAATTTATGTTGCGCAACTCTGTTCGAGTTTTTTCTCATTCTCTTTCACTATACTTTAACCCATTGTATATTCTTTMCTTTAACCCACTGTCGTCTGTTTTCCTTAAAGGTATTTGGGCCACTCTATCACGTATATTAATCAGTTCTGTCAATTAGAAATACATTTTATTTATAATTCAAAATTAAAACAAAGATTACATAACAGACCTTCACATACATCACCCTTTTCCCTATTGTCTGAATCAATTTTTATAGCATCCTCCATACATTTCACAATGTCTTTAATTAATTGGTTTTTTTGGTCATAATTCATTTTGCAAAATTTTTATATTATATTATGTATATTGGTATACATATTTGCAAATTTCTTATCAAAAGATGAAATTAAATTTTTTAAATATATTCAAAATATTAATTTCAAAAAAATATACGCAAATGCAACTATGTACACGAAAGAAAGAACACGAATGCTGAAAAACGTCGCAGCGAACTGTTACGAAGTGCTGAACACTGGAAACTCGGCGCGATTCTTCTCTCCTCATCGCCAACTCGCCAATAAACCAAGAATTGCCGCAAAAAAGTTGCCATGTGTAATAACGGACGTATGAAACAAAGTTATTGTTTCCCATAGTTTTATAAAATCAGCTGATTTATTACTTAAGAATGAACAACCCTGTCCTCATTATGTAAGCTTGCTATTGGTGCGCAGATGTCGCC